ATATATAGGCAGATACTATGCCTCAAAAGTTTAAATAGTAACATATACTACTTTAGGGTGCTGTGGTGGTTTGAATGAGAACAGCCCCAAAAGCCCACTAATATTTGGCTCCCAGTTGGTAGACTATTCAGAAAGGATTAGGAGATTGTGGCCTTGTTGGAGGCTCTGAGGTTTCAAACCAGAGGCCCAGTCTTGCCTTCTCTCTGCTTCCTGCTTGTAGATCAGATGTAAACTCTCAGTTACTGCTCCAGCACCATGCCTCTTTCCCACCATAATGGAAATGGACTAACTCTCTGGAATTGTAAGCAAGCCACTAATTAAATGCTTTTCTTTTACAAAGTGCCTAGGTCATGGTGTCCCTTCCAGCAACAGAACAGTAACTATAACAGGTGTTTAAAGACAGTAGTATCCACTTTGAAACACCAGAGTATGGTTGTCTGAGAAGGTAACATTAAACTGAAGATTGAGAGAGCTGGAGAGATGGCCCAGAGGTTAGGAGCACTGGCTGCTCTTGCAGAAGACCCAGGTTCTATTCCCAGTACCCATGTCGGGGTTCACAACCATCCTTAACTTCAGTTCCCCAGGATCTGATGACATCCTCTTTTGGCCTCTGCAGGCACCAGGCATGCACATAACATGCAGACACACATGGCAGGGAAAACACTGGTATCCACTAAATAATTACATCTTTAAAAACAATAAAAACCTGACACTTTCAAGTTGAGTAAGAGTCGCTCATATACTTAGTTTTGAGGGAAAGACATTCCACGCATAACAAACAGTATAGAGAAAATTCAGAAGATGGGAATGACCACAAACATGAACAGAAAACATTAGCTATGATAAGGACACAAAGTCTAGTGGTGAAGAGGTTAAAGGAATGTCGAAATAGCTGTACCCTTCTGAGATGCACCTATGACTCTTGGAGCATATCTGGCAAGTAGAGTTACTAAATGCTGCCAAACAGCAAGCAGTACCCAGGTAAGTAGCTCACGGTTAGTTAGACGTGTGGATCAAGCTGCCTGTTGCAATGTGATCAGAGCGTGAGCCTTACCAACCTGTTCGCAGACAGGCCACATTCGCAAGCCACCACTCTGGGATCTTAGGCAGAATCACCATTACTCGCTCTCCCCTTTGCAAGGAACAGGCTTCTGTGAGTATGTTGGCAAATTTCCTGGATAAAGATCCGAGTTCTTCAAAACCCCATCTCACTTCTCCTCCATTTCCATCTATCCACCAAAAGGCTGGGTTGGAAAGTCTCCCTCCAGCCTGAGGAAAGCACAGCCATCATGGACTTAGAGGGTGTTATACAGTTAAATTATATTTCAGCTGACTTATTGGAGCAAATTCTCTGCAAAAACTCACAAGTCAGTTATTAGTCAGGACATACATGGATTAAGTACAGATCACTCAGAAGTTCTTATTTCTACATGCTGGGAACCATGTCAGTTTTTTGCGAACAGTCCTTTCTCATTTATCATGATAATTTTTTCCCAAAAGTTAGAATTTATACATCCCACCATCTCCCCAGGGAAGTATCCATACTTCGTTTCTTTTCATTTTGACTCTTGAAATAACTTTCTACTCCTTTTTGTTTAAAAGTGGGGGGGGGGGACAAAAAGGATGCATTAATACAACCTAGACTTTCTCAAACAGCCACGAAGGCCTCATAGACTGGATAATACCTTGTTCTGGGGCTGCTCCGCATATTAGAGGACATCAGTACTGCCCCTCTACTTTTAGATGTCAGAAGCAACTACTGACTTCCCCTAACCACCCCTTCGTTGTAGCGAAACTCTCTACAGTCATTGCTAACTACTCTTGGGGGCTATGATCACTTGCAATTGAGTCACTGTAGTCTGACTGGCATTTGTTCCGTACCTTCTCCACACTGCTCCATTGGTCCAGGACATCTTTTGCAAAATTGAAATGCTCTGGAATCTCTAGTTTGAAGTCCTGTTTCATGGATTCATAGTTGGAAAAGTTCTGAGGGGTTGCTGTTCTGTAATCTTTATACAAGACTCTTAGAGGACCAGCAATTGCTAGGCGCTGCAAACACTTAGCATGAAGTAACATTGCCATGGTGACAAGAGCTATCTAGCATCGGCGCTGCTGGATGTTTTAGCACTTGGGATTTCCATGCAGACTAATCCAGCTAAAAGACAAGCAAAAATGACATGCGTTTAGTTTGGTTTGCAAAGTAGTAAGACCACAAAGCACACCTAAGTTTTACCATAACTCTCCATCATGACCCATTCAGTATCATTTTCCGGGCATTTGCTTTGATGCTTTGTGTATTCTTTGCCATTAAATCCTTAGAGAACCCCTGTAAAGTATGTCCTGTTATGATCTGTGTCTACAGATGGTGGAAACAGTAAGAGCCAGTGGCTGGATTCAGGCCCAGCCCATTGTCCTGACCACCCACACTATTGCTTTCTCCATGCATTTCTCAACTTTCTGTGACTGTGCAGAGGCTTATGATCTAATAGCACATCACACCCCGCAGATGATCTGCATATGAGGAAACTAAGAGGAGCCTAGTGCCAGCTGGGCCTGACAGCACTGTCTGTGTTTAGAGTCTGTCTGGTTTACAGGCTACAGTTCCCATGCTCCCAATAGGAGCCCACACTACCACCATCGAGTCCAGGCTTGGAGATATAATAACAGGGCTTCTGTGCAGGGAGGTCCTTCCCAGCCACCTACTACTCCTTACTTCTGTGGGTAGTCGTTTGATCACAATGTCATTTTACTTGGCCGAGGCTATTAAAACTACAGTTTTAGTGTTCCAGGGGTTGTGACTGAGTTTCTTCTCCTTATGCTTCCCACAATTTTCCTGCAATAAAACAGATACTGTTCTCATAATCATTACAGCATAATTGTAACTGTGATTCTAGCTGTGTGGTAGGGCAGCCTGGCTATATGGAATCATTTCTGTAATGATAAAGTGTCCAACCAGGACAAGATACCAGATATCAGCTAAACTGCATCCTACGCGGATGTGGTGGCTGGGCATCATGTTAATGCATTGGATGCATTTGATGAAACCCAGGCTCCCTGATGTCTCACCTCGTTGTGTGAGAAACTGACCAGCCCATGGATCTTGAGCTTCTGAGATCATCCTGCTTGGGCCTCCTTGCTTTTCACCTTCAAAGAAAATGAACCTCAAACAGAGGAAGCATCAGACTTTACCTATTGTGTCAGGGCTCGAACCTGGGTCTTTGGATTCTCATTGGAATGGCTTTACCTTGGGCCAACAGGACTCCAGCAGAGCAGTGGTTTGGGACCTTGTCAATGCATTGACTCACTAGGAAAGCTTTTTATAAAAACTTGAATGCCTGCATCATTGCCAATTAAGTCAGCATTTCAGGGAGTGGGCCTATACTATTTTTTAAATTTTCCTCAGATTGTAATGCATAACCCAAGTTGAGAGTCACTCATTCAGAGCCTGGGATCTAGGAACCATCAGTACAACTGGAAGCTTGTCAGAAGCTTGAGTCCCACTGCAGATCTGTTGAATTAGTGGATATCAATCTTTTAACAAAATTTCCCAGCAACAAGTTCAATTGAGAGAAACAATAGTCTTTAGGGTGTTGGCTAAGTCCACTGCCTATTTATCATACACTCATGGAATAGGTCTACTTACCACTTATTTAATGGTTTCTCTATTTGAATAATAAGCCACTATGAATCTCAGCTTTCCATTTTACTAGTAAAAACACTGATAGAACCTCTGACAGAGAGGTATGTTTACCAAAGACTGAATTCAATAATGCAAAATGTTCCCATGGCACCAACAAGGGTATGTGAATATCGGGCTTTATGGACCTTACTTTTTCTGTTGTGATACTCAACTCTGCCATAGATGTTGGTAATACATAAATAAGTAAACATGGTCAATTTCTTCCAAACACCTTATCGATGAACACTGAAACTTGAATTTCATGCAGTTTTCATGTGTTATGAAGCACTGTTTGTCTTTTTCTTCCCCAACTTTTAAAGGTGTGAAAACCACTGTTAGTTCCCAAAGTTGTTAATATGGACAGCAGTCTGGCTAATCTCACCGGCTGTAGTCGGCTGATGGTACTGGACTGTAAATTCTGTCAGAGTCAGAGCCGTGACTGTCATCCTCATACTTCTGTCCTGGGACTCATAACCACATTTGATTCAAAGTGTATGGACTTCTGATCCAGTTTTTTGATCCAATTGAAATTAAAGTCAATTAAAAAAATAATTTGTTAACCTTTAGCTCCAAAACTTGCTAAGCAGAGGCAAGCAGACTTCTGTGAGTTCAAAACCAGCCTAGTTTATATAGTGAGATCCTGTCTCAAAAAGTATAGATAAAAATTAAAACTAAAGGGAATATGTGTTGAGTGAATAAATGGCTTTTTCAGAAGGGAGAAATTTTAACTCTAGGGTTATAGTTGATCGAAGAGGTGCCTCAATGCTTTAACCAGAGTCATGTGACTACCTGCATCATCTACGTGAGGCAGTTTATGTTAATATAAGCGCAATTGTAAAAATCAGTTCATTGCTAATAAGTCTCCAGCTAAGGTTTGGAGCTCTGTGCCCACCCCCCTTCTCCGTGCTGTTACAAGTCCCTGTGGGCTCATACGGGTGCCTGCCCTACTGTGCCTAGCAAACAGTTTCCTTGTAGATCTGGGAGGAGTGGCTGGTGGTGGTCAAAATAATCAAAACACATTGTATTAAATTTTCAAAGAGCTAATAAAAATGAGAAAGTAAAGCAAAAGAAAAATTGACTCATTGGTTATAGGAGTTGTATTTCAAGTGCTTGATAGCAAATGTGGTTCAGGTCACCCTGCACTGGCCAGAGCTGACCTAATGCCTTTCTGTTGTTGCAGCATTTGCTGAGGATCTGTCTGGTTAACAGCTCAGAACTGAACTCACAGAAAACGTTAAAAGAAAAACTGAAGGAGGAAATTTCTCAAGGTAAAACTTTCCTTCAGGTTCAGGGTTGGGAAAGCACCGCCCAGAACTTTCTCTGACCTAATAGTTATGAAGAAAAAGCAATGCAAAAAAGCCACTTTTTTAGAACCAAATCACCCTGAGGCTGTTTCCCCAGGGTTCAGTCCTCAAGGTCCCAAATGGCATTCTGTTTGGTAGCAGGGCCAGGTAGCAAGAGAGCAACTGGCTGGCTGCATGCTGAAGCAACTACCTGGCTTCTTGGCTGTACTCCAATTTCTTAACAGGATTAGGACCAAGTTCTTTTGAACCTCTCCCACCCCCAACACACACACACACACACACACACACACACACACACACACACACACACACATGCACACACACCAGTGCTGAATGCTGAAGACTGAAAGTTTTGTCTAAAAGAGACAACACTAAGTTCTCTGAAGCAAACCCATCTTGGTTTTTACTTCTTGGTATAATATCTTCAAATGATTCAAAGACCATAAAAGATACACATTGAAAACTATCCCCTTCCTGTCTTGAAGGGTCTGTATTTAACCCCAGTCTTACCTCCCAGGGGTCACTGTGCTTCTCAGCATCTCAAATGTGACTGCAGACTCTCATTTCTCCACAGGCTGGAAAGAACAGGCAGCCTAAATTCTCACCATTCCACCTACCCAATCCGTTTTCACTAATGTAATTTTAGAGGTCACTTCATATCAGTTCATAGAGCTTTCTATTATATTAAAAAAAACAGCTGCCTTGCATTGTATTGAACGGCTGATAGTTCCCAATTGCTGATCACTTGAGCTGTCCCTATTATTTTGCAATTTAAGTGAGAAATTGAAACCATTTATTCAGAATGAATGCCCTGATTCTTTCTCTCAATACCAATGTTATTTTAAAATAGTTAAGAAGTAGAATGAACATTTCCTGGTCCAATTGAAACAAAGGGCAAGAATTTGATCTGGTCCTGACCCAAGCTTTGTAGGCTAGTATGAGTCATTTATTTACTCAATAAATATTGACCGAAAGTTTGAAATGTTGCAGATATAGACAATGCATTGAGGGGATGAAAGAGACAAAGTCTTCTACTGTCATGGACTGGCGCATGTCAATGAGGTAACAAATAGATGTGTTGTTTCATGAAAAGGAAAAATGGATACAATTTGGAAGGTCTCCTCAGGGACACACCATGTTTGCTGAGCTCTGACAAGTGAGTGGCCGCACTGCGCTCAGCATTTTGCATTAGTTTTATTATTCCACATTCTAGAGAAGCACACTGCCCTCAAGTCTATTCTTAGCCAAGTGACTAGTACACCCATTCTTCCACCAGATACCTGAGAAAGGCTTATATCAAATGCTGAGACTACGTCTGTGAATATAACAAGGCCAGGTCTGTCTCCTCCCCACAGAAGTTTCCAGACTATTAAACAACTGTGCAGATGTTTACACTGGTGGTAAACACAGTTTACTAACCGATACCAAGCAGAATCAGAGTTCAGTATGATTTCTCCCCATCCTGTGCAGCGGTTCTCCTTCATTCAGAATCTTTCACGCATCCATTGGTGTTGCCAATGGTAAATTCCTCATGTTCCAACAAACAGCCACCCACCCATGCTCATGCAAGAACCCTCATTAAACTAACTCACTGGGTACAAAAGACATGGAGGAGGTGGGGCTTGTTGGGGCTCAGCAGCTAGTTCCAGGACAGGCTCCAAAAATCTACAGAGAAACCCTGTCTCAAAAAACCAAATAGACATGAAGGGGGTGGAGCTCAGCAGGGGCTCAGCAGGAGTGGGAAGGGGCGGGGGGCCATAATAGAGGGTGGATTTGATCAAAACACGTGCATGTATGAAATTGTCAACAAGTAGATTTTCAAAAAGAACTTATTTCAAATGAACATTAAAAGTTTCACATTTAAAAAAAAAGACAGAAAATTGGTCAGTCAGTTGGAACTTAAAATAAACAAACCATTTTTTTTTTTTTTTCAAAAAGAAGTGTCAGGCTGGGCTGTTGTAGTGCACACCTTCAATTCCAGCACTTGGGAGGCAGAGGCAGGTGGATCTTTGTGGGTTTCAGGACAGCATGGTCTACAGAGCGAGTTCCAGGACAGCCAGGACTGTTACACAGAAATACCCTGTCTTGAAATAACCAGAAAAAAAACAAAAAAGAAAAAAAAAGGAAAAGAAAAAGTATCGACACCCCCTCATCAAAGTCGTAATATTCTTTTTTACTCTGTAAGGCTCAGTCAGTTCCTGTCTTATCGGTGATATTAGCATCTTAAAAAGCGCCCTCTCCGGGTCTGTAAAATCCCTTACAGATGAAAGAAAAGATCTCTTCTGCATCATAAACCTGGGCTTTACACCAAGCCTCGGAAATGCTCCTAAGAAAAATTCTAAGGAAGGCACCACTGACTGGCCAAATGGGCTCTCAAAGTGTTCAATGTCTCATCTGAGATACAGCTTTGAGTCCATGTAAATGCAGGGCAGAGGGCTCGTCCACAACACCCTTCCCCCTAGTTAGCCCAAAGAATGACAGCAGTTTGACAGATACACCAAGAACCCTGCCTTAACCCCACTCCCCAACACACGACTTTAGAGTGTCCCCAGAGAGAACTTATTGTCACAGATTTCCTATCTCTATACTTCCCAAACATAAACTACGCAGAGGTAATTTGCATAGTTTTGGATTTGTAGGAGATGGATTTCCATCTATCATTGAGCAAGGTGTGGCCAAATAGACCAGAGAAACATTTGGCCCCTACTCAATGTTTTTTTATTTACGCTTCATCATGAATTTGCGTGTCATCCTCGCGCAGGGGCCATGCTAATCTTCTCTGTGTCGTTCCAATTTTAGTCTATGTGCTGCCGAAGCGAGCATCCCTACTCAATTTTTTCCCGAAACATTTTATCATGTAAACACACCTACACAATATTAAAAACTCAAACCTCACCAAAATGCCTAAGCTGGAAACTCAGCCTGCAGCCTGTGAGGGCTCAATCCCCACTACTTCTTCAGCAGTGTTCCCACTGAGGAGCTCTGAGACAAACACTTTTGCCATCTGGCTTCACAGAGCATTTTCCAGATTTGCTGGTTTTGTTTGCTGAACATATATTACAAAGCAAGCAAATAGGATACTCACGATGGGTAGCAGTAGTGATAGCAGACCTGCTTCATTTGAAGAGAGGCTTGATTTCTCACCTCTGATTTAGTAGTTCGAAGTGGAAGGAGTGTGACAGTCAGAGAGCTGGCAGCCCGAGTGCCTTCCCTTACTTGATTGGTGGACACACGGGAGGGTGGAGCATGGACCTTTACGTAACCTCGACCTGCGACCTGCCCATCTTAACAGGTAATGATTTGTACACAGGGCAGGCTTTTCGTCAGCTGGGAAAGCTGTGTGCACAGGAGGGAAAGGTGTCCAAAGAGTTGCTGAGAATTGGAGAATTGCCAGAATTGGAGGCCCACACGTGTAGACCCAGCCCTTCAGAGGTGGAGGCGGTAGCTGAGGAGCTGTTGTGAGGGCTAGGACTGTGAACAGCAGAAGTTCTCAGAAAGAGGAAAGAACACTTGAAGGAGGTATTGGTATTGAAATGAATAAACACAGACCGTGAACACCCTTGGGCAGGGTTGATAAGAGTGTTCAGTAACAGGGAAGAACTACGCTTCAACACTGTCAGGTCACTTGAGCGTTTCTCACCACGCCAGTCATTCAGAGGACTCTAAGAAGCTGTGGGGTCTTCTCTGCCTCCCTGCCCTTCAGCTGCAACAGTTCCGCTACTCGCCCCAGACCCAGCCAAGTTCCAGCCTTGAGACCTTTGCACCCCCACTGCCTGAAACTCTTCCCTGAGAGCCTGTGGCCAAATCCTCCTTTGGGGAGATCCCCTGCCAGAGGCACTTTGTACACCGACTTCCCTAAGCTAGCACTCTTTTCCCTCGGACAGCCTTTTGCTTCTCTTATCACAAAGTTTGACAATAAAATTTGTTTTTGTTTTGTTTTGTTTGCTGCTGATGGATCATCTGACAAAAGTTAGCCATTCAATAAATGTGTGTGAATAAATGACTCATTCAGTTGCTTGTGATAAAAATCCAACTCAAATTTAGTTAAAGACAGGAATTTCTACAATGGGCATGGTGGCACGTGCTTTTAGTCCCAGCACTTGGGATGCAAAGGCAGATGGACCTCTGCTGAGTTTGGGGCCAGCATGGTCTACACAGGTTTTGTGGCTAGGTTGGTGTCCCAGTCCCACCCCTGGAAGGCTTGCCTGGTTACAGAGGATGGACAGTTTTTATAACTATACCTCTGAAGTCCAGCTAAACATCAGGAATGGTGATGCCTCCAGATGTTCTTTTATTGTTCAGAATTGTTTTAGCTACCCTGAGTTTTTTGTCTTAAATATGCAATTGAGTATTGTCTTTTCAAGGTCGGTAAAGAATTGTGTTGGAATTTTTATGGGGATTGTGTTGAATTTGTAGATTGCTTTTGGTAAAATGACCACTTTTACCGTATTAATCTTATCTATCCATGAGCGTAGGAGAATGCTGTGGGGGTAATGCTGTGGTACACTTTAAAGATTTGTCACTCATATTGGTTTAATAAAATGCTGATTGGCCAGTAGCCAGGCAGGAAGTATAGACGAGGCAACCAGACTAAAAGAATTCTGGGAGGAAGAAAGGCAGAGACACAGTTACCGCCCAGACACAGAGGAATCAAGATGAGAATGCCTTACTGAGAAAAGGTACTAAGCCACATAGCTAAACATAGATAAAAATTATGATTAATATAAGTTGTAAGAGGTAGTTAATAATAAGTCTGAGCTAATAGGCCAAACAATTTATAATTAATATAAGCCTCTGTGTGTTTCTTTGGGACTGAATGGCTGCAGGACCAGGCAGGAGAGAAACTTCTGTCTACAGGAGATCTTACCAACTTCTGACGTCTTCTCCTATTCTTTCTTCAAGGTTTTAAGTTTTTACTATATGGGTCTTTCACTTGCTTGGCTAGGGTTACCCCCAAGATAGTTTATATTGTTTCTAACTATTGAGAAGAATGTTGTTTCCCTGATTTAGTTCTCAGTCTGTTTGTCATTTGCATATAGAAGGGCTACAATTTTGTATTTGTTTTTGTTTTTCTGGATAGGGTTTCTCTGTGTAGCTTCGGAACTCACTCTGTAGAGCAGTCTGGCCTCAAACTTACCGAGATCCACCTACCTCTGCCTCCCGAGTGTTTAGATTAAAGATGTGTGCTACCACTGCCTGATGGATTTTTTTTTAAAGTAAATCTTGTATTGAGTCACATCATTGAAAGTGTTTATCGGCTGTAAGAGTTTCCTAATAGAATTACTGGGGTTGCTTACAAATAAAATTGGGGTATACTACAAATAAAATATACAAAATAGGATACAGTAGAGCAGTAAGATGCAATTGCTATGCTAATAATTGATGCTTATATGTTTTATATCATTTATACCTTAGATAACTTGCCATTAAGAAATTATGTTGAAGCTGGGCAACGCCTTTAATCTCAGCCCTTGGGAGGCAGAGGCAGGCTGCTCTCTGTGAGTTCAAGGCCAGTATGGTCTACAAGAGCTAGTTCCAGGACAGGCTCCAAAGCTACAGAGAAACCCTGTCTCAAAAAAAAAGAAGAAAGAAAAAAGAAATTATTTTGAATCCTTTTATGATAAAGGTCTTGGAGATAGCAGGGATACAAGGAACATACCTAAACATAATAAAGGCAATATACAGCAAGCCAACAGATAACATCAAACTAAATGGAGAGAAACTCAAAGCAATCCCACTGAAATCAGGAACAAGACAAGGTTGTCTTCTCTCCCCATATCTATTCAATATAGTACTTGAGGTTCTAGCTAGAGCAATAAGACAACAAAAGGAGATCAAGGGGATACAAACCAGAAAAGAAGAAGTCAAACTCTTACTATTTGCTGATGATATTATAGTTTACATAAAGGATCCCAAAAATTCTACTAAGGAACTTCTACAATTTATAAACACCTTCAGTAATATAGGAGGATACAAGATTAACTCAAAAAATTCAGTAGCCCTCCTTTACACAGATGATAATTGGGCTGAGAAAGAAATCAGAGAAACATCACCCTTCACAATAGCCACAAATAGCATAAAATATCTCGGGGTAACTCTAACCAAACAAGTGGAAGACCTTATGAGAAGAACTTTAAATCTTTGAAGAAAGAAATTGAACAAGACACCAGCAAATGGGAAGATCTCCCATGCTCTTGGGTAGGTAGAATTAACATAGTAAAAATAGCAATCTTAACAAAAAAAAATCTACAGATTCAATGCAATGCCCATCAAAATCCCAGCAAATTTCTTCACAGACCTCAAAAGAACAATACTCAACTACATATGAAAAAAAATCCAGGATATCCAAAACAATCTTGTACAATAAAGGAACTTCTGGAAGCATCACAATCCCTGACTTCAAACTCTACTACAGAGCTACAGTACTGAAAACAGCTTGGTATCAACATAAAAACAGACAGGACGACCAATGGAATCATATCTAAGACCCAGATATCAATCCACACACCTTCGTACACCTGATTTTTGACAATGAAGCAATAAATATCAAATGGAAAAAAGAAAGATATTCAATAAATGGTGCTGGCATAACTGGATATCAACATGTAAAAGAATGAAAATAGAAACTGCCCTTGCCTGGACTGCTTGATGTTATGCTAGATGAACTGGACATGTGGGACCCACAGAAAAATGACTGCTGAACTTGCAGAGTCTTAAATAAGTGTTCTTAGTAGCTTTGAAAGTGTCGGTGCCTACGGGAACAGAATTTCCTTGGACTGCTGCTGTTGCAGCCTACCCACTGCTAGTGACAGACTTGCAGTTGCTGACTAGGATAGCCGTAGTTTAGAAGGCAGCAACCATTTGTGGGTTTTTTTTTTGTTGTTGTTGGGTTTTTTTTTTTTTTTTTGAGACAGGGTTTCTCTGTGGTTTTGGAGCCTGTCCTGGAACTAGCTCTGTAGACCAGGCTAGTCTCGAACTCACAGAGATCCGCCTGCCTCTGCCTCCCCAGTGCTGGGATTAAAGGCATGTGCCACCTTCGCCCGGCCAACCATTTGTTTTTTGATTGTTTATTTGTTACCTTTACTGTTTGGCTGGCCTTGAACTTGCTCTATAGACCTGGCTGGCCTCCAACTCAGAGATCCATCAGCCTCTGCCCTTCTGAGTGCTGAGATTAAAAGGTTGCACCACCATTGACTTGAAGATTTAGTTCCTTTTCACAAATGGAAACTTAGCTGACGGGATCTTGCTCTGAGGTCACCACTCCCTTTATTTATTTTCTTAATCCTTTTATCTCTTTGAACGCAGGATTAGCTCTGTTCCACTTTCTGGCACCCCTTCTCAGTCTGTATGTTTTGTATTTTATTTGCTCAGCTTACTCCTTTTCATTATAAATTTTCATTAGAGTTACCATCAGTAACCACACAACAGAGTCTATGTAGGCTGTTTTGAGATTCCCTATGCTAATGGAATAATCCAGAACTTTTCATTTTAGTCTCAGGCAGACTATTCAGAAAAGGGCAAAAGCAGCTGCATTTTCCACCAAAATATCACAAGAATGATCTCTAGACAACTACTAAAATTCTTCTCCTCTGAAACCTCTTGAGCCAGTTCCAGTTCAAATAACTGTTAGTACCCCTGCCTTCCATGTTCCTGCCAGGATGGCCCATTAAGCAGTGCTTAAAGGATCCTTGTGGAAAACAGTGATGGTTTTGTTGAAGGGGCATTGCAGCCATTTCACAAGACATCTCAGCCACACCTGGGGCTCTTGCGTTATTGTGTATTGCAAACATACATGATAAAGGGCTAGAGTCATGAAGGCACGTGATGCTCTCTTTTGTAAGACATGTAAATTAGATTAGGGACCTTGGTATGAGGAAATACTTTGTGTAACTTTCAATAACTAATGCCTTTGTATGGCTTTTCAGGGCTCCGTCCATCAGTAGAGGCTGGACCTTCCTGCTGCCACATAGACCTTAAAATTTCAGGAAAGAGTGCCTTCTTCACTAGCCTGGGCTACACGGTGCTCCCCGATAGAACAGCTTACATATGGCATTCCCATATGTTAGGACTTCGGTGTCTAACAGAAGCATGCAGAAACTGATTAATACAGTATATAGGCACATTTTACAACTCAGTGTTTCACGTTCCCATAGCACCAGGGTCTGCCTTCACTGAATCCCTTCAGCTTCCCGTGTCTTGTTTTACTTTGCATATCTGGTGTAGTCTCACAGCACCACCAGAGGAAATTGTATTGGATATGCAGATTTGTAAAGACACAAACCCCCTAAGAAACTTTGGCTTATTATTAGGACAATAAACTTCACGGCCTGCTGATGGCCTGACCGCCGCATTTTAGATAGTGCCTAGCACGATAAATATTAACTTTAAGAAAAGTCAGTAAATATGAGTGAGTAAATAAACCAGTTCTTCGTGAGCGCGTTTTACGTCCAGTTAGAGTCCAAATTCTACGTTTTCACGCTGGCTCCGCCTTGAAGCGGCTGTCACTCCGCGCGAGGGGAGGGGCGGGGCGGGGCCGCCGAAGGTGACGGGCAGGACCCTCAGGGCAGGCGGTCGCGCACGTGTGACGCAAGCACTCCGCGTCCGCGCAGACGTAGTTACGCCAAGGAACGTGGAGCAGAGGCAGCATGGCGGCCCCCGTTCAGCCGTCTTCTCAGCCTGTTGGCGGAAAGCGCAAAGGCAAGGCCCAATTTCTGCCGGCCAAGCGGGCCCGGCACTGTGACGCAGGCGGACCGAGGCAGCTGGAGCCCGGACTGCAGGGCATCCTCATCACCTGCAACATGAACGAGCGCAAGTGCGTGGAGGAGGCCTACAGCCTGCTCAACGAGTATGGCGACGACATGTACGGACCCGAAAAGGTACCGGCCTCGGGGAGATCAAACCGCCTGCAGGCCTCTTCCGGGGAGCGGAGGCGGCGGTTGCTCCGATGCACCTGTAAGGTGCTTTAACGACCTCGCTTGCCTTCCCCTCCCCCGGTGTGGCCGCTGTTGAGGTCGCCTGCCTGGTGGGTGTGTACTTGTGGGCTGGCTCTTTGGGGCGTTTCTTGACATCACTCATGACTGTGGCTCCCACGTGTTGATTGCCCCCTGTGGACCAGGTAGTGTGCTGAAGAACTTTGAGAAGCGCGCTTCTTGTGACCGTGTGAAGTTGGTACAAGCTAAAATCTCTCTTAGGTAGTGGAAGTTTGATACGGGATGCTAATTTTCCAAGTGCACTTGAAAATACATTTCAGAAAATAAAAACTTGATGAGTCCCAAATCTCATTCTAAGGTTTGGAAGCTATGATATTATCCACTTAGATTCTGCACACCCCGAAGTGTGGAGAAAGATAGTACTGCGGTTCCCATTATTGGAGAGGAGTGGACAGAATATAAACCTGTTACAGCGCCTTCAGTGTGCAGTTATTTTTATTACCTGGATGAAATGAAAACCCCCTAGGTAGGAGCGCGTGTCCTATCTCTGCTGGTGCGGTACGCAAGTTCCTTTTTGTTGTTGTGTTCCTTCTGTTTCTGAGGGAAGACTGCTGGCTACCTCAGCCTGGCCTCAGCTTCCGACGTGTAAGGATTGCAAGTATTGGCCACTGTGCCAGGCTTAAGCAAGTTCTTGACCACCTTCTCTGCCTTTTTTTTTTTTTTTCTTAGTAGAGCAGGAGTCATGGTTTTAGTTCTCTTATGCATTTGGTTCTTTTTTTTTTTTTTTTTTTTTTTTTTTTTTTTTTTTTTTTTTTTTTTTTTTTTTTTTTTTTTTTTTTTTTTTTTTGTTTTGCTCTTTGTTTTACAAGACCAGGGTTTCTCTGAAGCTTTAGAGCCTGTCCTGGAACTAGCTCTTGTAGACCAAGCTGGCCTTGAACTCATAGAGATCCGCCTGCCTCTGGCTTCCGAGTGGTGGGATTAAAGGTGTGCTCCCCTGGCTTGGTTCTCATCTCACCAAAAAGAAAGTACCCTGTCGGCCGCAGTGATAGGCAGTGGTGGTGTTAAAGTCCACCGTGACGTGCGCTTCATCTAATGAACACATTGCTGCCTCTGTCAAGATATTTCTGCAACCATTTTCAGAGGATACATGCCACATTCAGGGAACTCACTGTGTGATCTACATTTTGGAAGCATTATTATTTTAATCACCTAATAAAATCATTTAGAGCCAACGTTGAGACCTGTGCCATTGGGGGTTTCACATGAATAGTTAATTGCAGTGTTTTAACTGGTTTTATGTAACAGTTTATAGACAAGGACCAGCAGCCCTCTGGAAGCGAGGGAGAAGATGATGATGCCGAGGCTGCCTTGAAGAAGGAAGTTGGTGACATTAAGGCTTCTACGGAGATGAGGCTAAGAAGGTTCCAGTCAGTGGAGAGCGGAGCAAACAATGTAGTCTTCATCAGGACCCTTGGGATAGGTGTGTGTAAATAACGCCCCTGAGATCATTGATCCCACGGTATCTGGACATCTCTGTCTTAGCAGATACTGCCTAGACAGTGGCTTCATGGTATGGCTGTCAAGTCACGTTGTGGTAATGTCCCCCACATTCCATCAGCCGTAGCTCCGTGCCCAGATATTTCTGAAACCATTTTCAGATGACATATACCACACTCGGGGAATTTGTTTCTTACTCCATATTTTGGAATTGTATTATTTTAGTCTCATAATAGTATGGAGAAGTGGAAGGTGGTGAGGGTAGCGTTGACTTAAGAGTGGGGACCTGGCAGTGCTGTGTCCTTTCTTTGTGTGTAACTTAAGGTAGAATGAAAGTATATATTCTGTCTCAAAAGAGCAGCTGCTACTTAGTACCAGGCTTAATTGCCATTTAGAAATGGAGGACCTGATCCAATTAGTTAAAGATCTGGAAATGGAATTCCTTTGACTTTCAAGTATGATCACTAATTCAAAAATACTAACACTAACATCTCCGATGACATATAGTTGGGAAGTAGCCTGTGATTGACTGTGTTGTGCTGTGCTCCATGGTGCTGGGATTCTTTCCCAGCTAGAGCTGGGTTTCTGTACACAGTAGCTAGTGAGCTGAGTAAGTCTTCAAGTAAAGTACAGATTTTGTTTTTGTAAAAATGTGCTGTAGAATGCTTGTTGCTCTTAGTTTGTATTACAAGAACATCAACATTTATTTATAGCAAAAGCAGTATAGATGGTGTAAAGTTAAAGTCCTAGATATATGATAGACACTAGAGAAACACTAATTGGTACAGAACCTTGTTTTGTTCTTTTTCCTTAGAACCCGAGAAACTGGTGCATCATATTCTACAGGATATGTACAAAACCAAGAAAAAGAAGACACGAGTTATTCTGCGAATGCTGCCCATCTCAGGCACATGCAAAGCTTTCTTAGAAGACATGAAAAAATACGCAGAAACGTTTTTGGAGCCCTGGTTTAAAGCCCCAAACAAAGGGACATTTCAGATTGTCTATAAGTCTCGAAATAACAGCCATATGAATAGAGAAGAAGTTATTAAAGAACTGGCAGGTGGGTTTTACTAGTGATTTTATAGATGGGAGGCAGAGCCTCTGGTAAAAAGTCAGCTATTTGGGAAAGTACAGTTGTCTACCCATACCCATGGGAGACTGGTCATTAGATCCCCTAGGAATACCAAAACCTGCGAGTGCCCAGGTAAGTCTTATATAAACTGACTGTTTTGGTGTAGTATTTGCATATAATCTGCACATGTTCTCTTGGATATTTTATATCATCTTTGGATAACTTAGAATTCTTAGTCTGATGGAACTTCCATGAAATTAAACTGTCTTGTTTAGGGATAATGACAACTAAAAACAGTCTGTTCATGTTAAATACAGATTTTTTTTTTCCCTAAGTATTTTGATTCACACTTAGTTGTGTTTGCACACATGAGTGCATTGCCCACAGAGGCCTGAAGAGGCTGTCATAGCCTTTTGAGCCAGAGTTAACAGGCAATTGTCTAGCCGAACAGATGGGCCTTCTGTAGGAGCAATGCATGCTCATAGCTGCTGAGTCATCTCTCCATTCCACCAAATGTTCTCTTATTAAGTGTCTCAAGGTTTCATTTGCATTTAGTTATTAAAAGCGTTGATGGATCCAGGCACTTGATCCCACAGTTGGGAGGTGGAGGCAGGTGAATCTCTATGAATTCAAGGCCAGCCTGGTCTACACAGTGAGTTCCAGGCCAGCCAGGGCTACATAGAGACCCTGTCTGGAAAATAAAGTATTAATAGACTTTGATTGATGGCCACAAAGAACAATTAATTCTTAATAAACCCTGTCTTAACAAATCCGAGATGGTAAGGGATAAAAGCCTGTTTGACTATATCAGGCGTAATGATATCTTCCTTCTTAGCCCATTTTCCTATTTTTGTTACAGGAATAGTGGGCAGCCTCAATTCAGAAAATAAAGTGGATCTCACTAATCCAGAGTACACGGTGGTAGTAGAAATCATCAAAGCTGTGTGTTGCCTGAGTGTTGTGAAAGATTATGTGCTATTTAGAAAATACAACCTCCAGGAGGTAGTGAAGAGTGCAAAAGACTCACAGCCTCACCCAAAGCTGGGAAATGGCAAAGAAGCAAAGTTGGAACCTGATACCAAGGTGAGTCAAAGTGATCCTTCGGAAGGGAAAAATAGCCAGCAAGTGGCAGCAGAGAGCAGCGAGGAGCTGGAGCCGAGAAAACCAAGGTCTGAAACCCCAGCAGGAAGTGAGGGAGAAGCTAAACCTGAACTTGAAAGTGGAGGCTCAGAAGGACCAAAGTCAAATGAAAATGAGCTCTCATAGATCATTCTGTGGGGGAGTTGGGTCTCAGCTGGGGTTCTGCAACAAGCTATTGGGGTTCAATGTAAAATTGTGATAATATGTATTGACTTTTGTGTGCTGCTTCATGCTGATCTCACAGCCTCCGATGACAATTTTGTTAGAGCCCTTCCAGGCCTGTATGTCAGTGTGTGCAGCCCCATGTACTGTTACCTAGGGGAGGTGAGGAGGGCATTGGCCTCTGCCTCCGGATTACTTTCTCTACTTACCCTTTAAGCACTGCCAACTCATGTGGAACTACACAGAGTCTTAGTGGGAAATCAGCAGGACATTCTCATTCTGAGGAAGTTATGTGCTGCACACAGCTCAGCTGTGCCTACCGTTTCATTGGATACATAGTACCACTGTGGGTTATATGGGAATCATTTTGTGATGACTTTGTTTTCCTTGTTGTTTGTTTTAATGTTAAAAGCAAGTCTGATGGCCCATCGCTGCAGTTTTAGAGATGTCAGAGAAGAGGGCTGTCCTAGGTATAGGCCCATGGGTGTTTCTCATAAGGTTAGGGATGAGGACTCTTTGTGCCGACTCACCCTGTACAAGTACAAAAACAGTGGAAAGCTACTGCCCCGGGGCTTCACTAGACTGCTTGCTGTCCAAGCTGTCCTTCCAGTTTGTCATGCTTTCAAGAGTTCCTCATAGGTAGAGATGTGAAGGGTCGAAGCGACCTATGAGCACTGCAAAACAAACTGTCCAGGTAGGGACTGCAAAGTGGCTGTAACATTGGGCTGGGAAAAAGGTTTGTGTTTAAATCTTAATACAAGTTAGAAAATATAAAAGCTACGGTTCCCAGCACAAGGGGCTAAGCAAAAAGCGAGTGACATGAGAATACATTTCTTCTGAGATGCTAGAGTATTGCTAAGTAAGCCAGAACAAAAGGATGTTGGAGAAGCAGAGTAGGAAGCACCTTGCTAATGCAGATGGGGCTGGAGCATCCTCAGGTTTTGACATGTTAATTCAGGTCTAGATTGAAACCATCTTGAAAGGATATGTATTAGTGTCACTTGGGAAAGGGTGGAGAGAATCCTAGTGCCTTCTTGAGGCCTGCTCAGAGATAAAGGACTTTTCCTTTAATAGTGTAGGGCAGAGGACCCAGGATAAAGTACCGTTTGTTCAGACACAAGGTTCTGAGGCTTGGCGAAGTAGCTGCGCTTCAGATTCTGATTTAATACTTTGGTTTCCATTGCATTTTTATTTATTTTTGTCAGTGGATCCTGAGTGTGCCTGGCTGTTTGCCAGTTGTACGGTGCTGTATGTTCTTGGATCTAAGTTCATTTATCATTTTGCTTTGCTTTGAGAGTTGAAGACTTTATATTCACTGACATTTCAGTGTGTTAGTTTATAGATGGTCTCAGCATAGGAGTTGAGTGGGCTTTCTGGTTGTTTGTTTGTTGTTTAAGCTATAGCAATTAAAACAGAAAATAAAGAAGCAGAAACCAAATCCCAGTGCACCTGTTCTGTTCTACAGACAAAGGAGTTATGCCTGGTACTGTAAGACATGTTTCTCCAAAGATGAACATGGTTTTCAAATATTTTTACTTGCATTTTGTTCTTGGTACAGCTGAATGTTCAGGTTGTTTTCAAATTTCTGATATTTTAAAAAATAAAAATGAATTTGTTCTGTAAAGTTTGGCATTCTGTACTTTTTTTTCCTGTCCCATATTAAATGACTTTCTATGTGTATGGTATGTTTATCAGAAAAATGCTTAGATGTATGATTGTGTATCAGAAGTCCAGGTTCATAATCCCAAGAAATGAAGATGCTAAAATTTATTCATGAATAATTAATACTAAATAAAAAGCATGTTTAAAATATTTACTTCAGAACAAACACCAGCCCCATACTGAATTTCATTAAAAACTCACTGACTGGCCTTTGTGTCATTTCTGTTCTTGATCTGAACAGTATTTAATCTGCTTGAGCGGGCTGATTTCATAAAGACTGGTTATGCAAACATCTTACCACGTCTCCCAGACAGCCCCCCTTTACTTTGAATTAGTCAGGACAAGATGAATAAGGCACAGATTGGTGGCATGTCTCAGGTTGGAGTCGTTAGACCCTGGCCATTTTAAACCCTTCACTCGGTTTGAGCATCATAACATTATCCTTCTCAAATATGTTTAGATTTTGCTCTTTTGTTTTTTTATTGTTTAACTACATACAATACAAAAACTTTTCTAACAGGAAAAAAACAAATCCTAAAGCATTTAAGAATGTGTGTAGTCACTGAATTTTCAGGAAGCAAGTACTAAAACAACTGTGCCCTGACATAGTTCCTCCTCGTTCTCATCCAGCTACGCTCGGCCCCACTCCTGGTCTCTTAGCACGTTGCGTTTGATTTTCCCAGTGATCGTCTTCGGGAGTTCTTGAACAAATTCCACCTGATGGATAGAAAAACACCGTGAGGCTCTTGTTCCATTAGTCTCGTCCCCACTGTCTGTGCAGTAGGAGACACTAAGGCTCCCAGTGTTGTGTGTCCTGCCAAAAGTAAATAATCGCTTCACCCACCCACCCCCCTTTTTTGGCTTTCCTCTGTTTAGACCTAGAACTCAACTGTCTTCTACATCTAATTCAGAGAATGGCCCCTTTTTTTTAAAACCTTGGGTCTTTAAGTGCTGGGAACTAAAGAATCTGAGGAAATCTTAGGGGTAATTTATCAAATATGTATTTTCCCCTGATTTGCCTATAAACTTTTGTTTTGGATTTCTTCTCTCAAGATTATACTGTATCTTTAAATGCCTTCACTTTTCTGAAAGTCAGAAGAGTTACCAGTTTACTCATTTTAATGGAGAAAGTGTGAGGATGGTAGGATCAAGTCACATGAACTCCATATTGGCCTAAATGATGCCAGCAGATACAGAGTGGTCTTGTCATCCCGTAGCAGCTGACAGTACTCCAGTGCTGGAAGGTTCTGTGGCCATCTTTGTCTTCATATGTGCTTGTTCTTCTGAGAGTTGAATGAGGCCACTTGAACATCTTGGGCTTATAGGTTTACCATAGCCTAGTTTACTCTTTAGATCAGTGTGCCACTTCTAAAAATTAGGGACGTGGTGATTCATTCACTTCCATTCATCGTCCCCTTTTAAAATGGGCCTACTTAATCCTGAAAACAGTCTTAGTATTGCAGTCAATATGTGTATGTGTTTTCTTTGCATGTGTGTGAGCACAGCTGTGTGTGGGTACACATGCACATATATACTTCTGTCTGTGGAGACCTGGTATTGGGGACAGAGATCATCCTCAGTTACTCTTCCACCATTTATGGAGGCCAGGTCTCTTAAATCCAGAGTACTAAGATATGACTAGTCTTGCTAGCCAGCCTGTTCTGATATTCTGATATCTCCACCTTGGTCAGCTTGTCCTAATATTCTATCTCTGCCTTCCAAGGCTAGAATTATAGGCAGGTGGGCCAGCATACCCACCCCGCATTTGCATGGGTTTTAGATCCTCACCCAGCAAGGAACCATACCTTTAGCCCCTGCAGTGGTTTTATTTTTTTTTTAAGTTCTTTTTTAAAAATACCATTTGTAGTATTCTAAATATAAAACACTTTAGAACAAAAACTTCCATAGTAAAACAAAAGGTGTCTTTTAGGATACATAACAAGTCTAAAGTCAAATCCAACACAGACAAAGGTAATTTGCACTTGCCTTTCTTGGGTACTTGTAAGGTGCTGTAGAATTTTTCACATGCTCCTGAAGCTCAGCAGTTAACTTCTCACGGTTGGAGGATTTGAAGGGTGCAGCTAATACTACAAACGCTTTCACCACCTGTGCAGAAAAGCCATTGGCTTGTAAGACACATGCAGGGTTTGGAACCATTGCTGAACACAGGCATTGACTGTTCATAGCAGTGTGAAACCCAGAGGTGCCGAATGAACTTGGGTCCAGATTATAAAGTACAGCGGGGGATCTCTTTCCAGAGGACTGGACTGTGAATGTGGGGGGGTCATGAGTTCTGTTTCTGTCACCTGGACTTGGCATTTCTGCTCAGCTGATTGTATATGGCAGTCCTTGATTTAGAGGTGAACATTTATGCCATGACACTTCTACAGGGAGAGGCATATCGAGCAGGATGAATGGAGATTCTAAAGAATGTGATCTGAAGGAGCTCTGGCAGAAATTCTGGAATTCAGTTGAAATCAGTTACATTGGAAAGATGCGGATGTGGTGGCAGGAGAAAGATATTTTGGAGATTGGAGTAGATCAAGAGTGGAGGGGGCAGGAGGAGGCTGTTCAGAATACCCCTGTGGAAGGTTACTGGCCGGTGAGAGGGGGGGACAGAAAAAGATGGGAGGGGGTACTGATAGCCATACTGATCCAATGTTTTTTTGCTTGCTAAGTCTTCAGAAAACCTCCAGGAGGAAAGGGAGATGTTCCTCTAAAATAGACACACGGGAACTTTGAGGGGGAACCTTGGCACGATTTTCTGTTTTCATTTCCGTAATGAGCTGTAACAGTTGTGTGGGAGTTGAAGTCTGACGCTTTTGCTTATCAGGTGTCTGTTGCCCACAGACAGCAGCACCCAGGTTGTCTAAGCTATATTCCCCCTGTCTTGTTCTGGCAGGACGACCAGCACTTTGCTCCCTTGACCAGCATATCATCCAGGTCTAGCCAGTTGGCTACACCATTGCTGAGACACATGGCTAGGTATGTGATGGGACTGAAACGGTTCCAAGAGAACTCCCTCCTTCCTGGTGGGGTAAGGATGAGTTATGCTTACTTGTGCCTGGAGCTGCGTGGTATGTGATGGGAGGAAGTCACGTGAAGGACCTGAGGCAGACAAGAGAGACTGAACCTCTGTAATATCTCAGGAGTGCTTGGGTGAATTAGATCCCTGAATTGAAGGGTGTTTCTGCCTGTCATGGGCCATCCAAAGAATCCCAGACTTCTTTGGGATAGAACTCATTTGTAAAGTGGATTTCCTGCATACATGTACCCTATGATGGGAGTCTAAGGAGTACCCGTGAGTTGGCCTTTGCCGGAGACACATGGAGGAACTGGATAATGAAATTGCTGCGTTAGTTCTGACAAGCGCTCTACCTCTCCTCGGACGGGATCCGGACTGCTGACAACAGCCGACTCAACTACCGCTGGGTGCTCTATCAGCGCACTCTCCACTTCAAACGGTCCAATCCGGTACCTGCAGAGGAGAGGGAGCCTTTGACTACCACACTCTCCAAGCAGGGCATCTCCCACCCTGCCATGTCATCCCTTTCTAAGAACGCAAATCTACAAACCCAGAGGATATAATGACATCATCAGCTCTGCCGACAAACCAGAAATACCCGTCAGTGTCCATTACTCCTCTGTCTCCAGTGACGTAAAAATTTCTTCTGATTGTGGCACCCGTCTTTTCTGGATTGTCCTATCAAAGATGGCATTTGGG